GATAAGATTGAATTTTGGGGTATAGTTAAACACACCCCACATTGGAAGGGTGACAATTTAATCAGGGAAATCAGTAAAAAAGAATCATTTTGGATATATGAATTAGGTAGCTTAGCCCCGGGAGGATTGAATAAGGATTTTGATCTTTCATGTTTCATTAGTGATTTTTAGTTCAGAGTCATGTTTAAGATTAGGTATGTTATTTCATTGATTAATGGAATTGTAAGGGATTGAATATGACTAATGGGATTTAATCATAATTAGATCATTTTTTAAATTAATTTATATATCTTTAACAATATTAGTTTTTACTTTTATTTTTATTTTATTTTTATATTTAATTTATAAAATATTTTTTTAATTTTTGTTGCTTTGAGGAGATCTTTAACCTGTGTGAACCTGTGTGAGCCGTAAGTTATTTCTGGTGTATCTCTTCTGGCCAAGGTGCAACGTAGTTATATTTATAACTGAAACATATGTGTCAAATACTGTGTGGTTAGTAATAGAGATGAGCGAATCGAACCAGGCGAAGTGGAATTCGATTCGAATTTCAGGAAAAATTCGATTTGCGTCGAATCCGAATATTAGCCTACTTCGGGTGCGCGAATCGGATTTTTCCCGATCAGCCGGCAAAAGTGTCCCTGCAGAGAGCTCCGCTATTTCTGACAGTTCTCTGACAGTTCCTTCACATGTACAGCGGTTGAAACATTGTATCTATTTGTTTCCATTTAGGATACAGATGTTTTTATTCGGAAACAGATACAATGTTTCAACCGCTGTAAATGTGAAAGTCAGAGAACTGTCAGAAATAGAGGAGCTCTGCAGATACACGCTGGCAAAAAGTGTATCTGCAGAGCTCCTCTATTCTGCAGATACACTTAGAGGAGCTCTGCAGATACACTTTTTGCCGGCTTGGAATTCTTCTTATTTTCATCCAACTTCTTCTTCTTCTCCTCATCCTCATCCTCTTCTTCTTCTTCTGAGGAGGATGAGGATGAAGAAGAAGAAGAAGAAGTAGGATGAAAATAAGAATAATTCCAAGCCGGCAAAAAGTGTATCTGCAGAGCTCCTCTATTCTGCAGATACACTTAGAGTAGCTCTGCAGATACACTTTTTGCCAGCTTGGAATTCTTCTTATTTTCATCCTACTTCTTCTTCTTCTTCTTCTTCATCCTCATCCTCATCCTCAGAAGAAGAAGAAGAGGATGAGGATGAAGAAGAAGAAGAAGAAGAAGAAGTAGGATGAAAATAAGAAGAATTCCAAGCCGGCAAAAAGTGTATCTGCAGAGCTCCGCTAAGTGTATCTGCAGAGCTCCGCTATTTCTGACAGTTCTGTGACATTCCCTCCATACAGCGGTTGAAACATTGTATCTATTTGTTTCCATTTATGGAAACAAATAGATACAATGTTTCAACCGCTGTATGGAGGGAATGTCACAGAACTGTCAGAAATAGCGGAGCTCTGCAGATACACTTAGCGGAGCTCTGCAGATAGATACAGCGGTTGAAACATAGACTATGTTTCAACCGCTGTATGGAGTGAATGTCAGAGAACTGTCAGAAATAGCCTATTTCTGACAGTTCTCTGACATTCACTCCATACAGCGGTTGAAACATAGCCTATGTTTCAACCGCTGTATCTATCTGCAGAGCTCCGCTAAGTGTATCTGCAGAGCTCCGCTATTTCTGACAGTTCTGTGACATTCCCTCCATACAGCGGTTGAAACATTGTATCTATTTGTTTCCTTCTCCTTCTTCTCATCCTTCTCCTTCTCCTTCTTCTCATCCTTCTCCTTCTCCTTCTTCTCATCCTTCTTCTCATCCTTCTCCTTCTTCTCATCCTTCTCCTTCTTCTCATCCTTTTCTTCTCCTTCTTCTCATCCTTCTCCTTCTCCTTCTTCTCATCCTTCTCCTTCTCCTTCTTCTCATCCTTCTCCTTCTCCTTCTTCTCATCCTTCTCCTTCTTCTCATCCTTCTCCTTCTTCTCATCCTTCTCCATCTTCTCATCCTTCTCCTTCTTCTCATCCTTCTCCTTCTCCTTCTTCTCATCCTTCTTCTCATCCTTCTCCTTCTTCTCATCCTTCTTCTTCTTCTTCTCATCCTTCTCCTTCTTCTCATCCTTCTTCTCATCTTCTCCTTCTTCTCATCCTTCTTCTCCTTCTCCTTCTTCTCATCCTTCTCCTTCTTCTCATCCTTCTCCTTCTCCTTCTTCTCATCCTTCTCCTTCTCCTTCTTCTCATCCTTCTCCTTCTTCTCATCCTTCTACTTCTCCTTCTTCTCATCCTTCTCCTTCTTCTTCTTCTCATCCTTCTCCTTCTTCCCATCCTTCTCCTTCTCCTTCTTCTCATCCTTCTCCTTCTCCTTCTTCTCATCCTTCTCCTTCTCCTTCTTCTCATCCTTCTCCTTCTCCTTCTTCTCATCCTTCTCCTTCTCCATCTTCTCATCCTTCTCCTTCTCCTTCTCCTTCTTCTCATCCTTCTCCTTCTTCTCATCCTTCTCCTTCTTCTCATCCTTCTCCTTCTCCTTCTTCTCATCCTTCTCCTTCTCCTTCTTCTCATCCTTCTCCTTCTCCTTGTCCTTCCTCATCTCCAAGGGCATTTAAATTAAAGGTACAGTGTTCTGCACTAATTTAAAGGCTCTCTGAAGCCTAGAAACCCTTTTAATAAGTTAAATTCGTAGCGAATTAATTTGCATCGAATCGAATTTCTTCCTCAAATTCGGCGAATCAGCCGAATCGAATTTTTGAATAATTCGCTCATCTCTAGTTAGTAAGCTTTGTCTGACCCCAAAAAGATGGCTGCTCCCATGAGGTCTCCAGGAAAATGGTGGAGACAGCATATATAAAGGAGTCTGAATGTAGTGACTGTCCAATCACAACCCCCTGATGAAGCCACGTGACCTATGGCGTAACGCGTAGGGGTGGGGCTATGACATCACTCGGCACCAGAAAACAGACGGCAAGTACTTATGTAGGCGGCTGACACAGGCATATTTCACTCAAAGCGTTTTTTTGATTTTTACAATGTGAGTACATTGATTGAGAGTGGTGGAATAAATTAAAGTCTTTTTAAAGGATAAAGCACTATGTCTCCATTTCTTCCTTTAACACTGAGGAACGTGTAAGGAGGAGTGAGCAATTGACCTAAAGCAGCTGAAGGAGGGAGAAATCCCTGCAGGGTTATCCAGCGTTTAAAGGGGAAAGCATTGTGGTGTTCGCAAGAAGTACCCAACATCCATCATATACTGCAGCAATTCTAGCAGGTTCCAGGATATGTGAAGCAAAAGCGTATTAAGCCTGTATATTAGGCTTAGAAGGAGGTGAGCATACATCTTAATTGATTGAAGGATTCAAGGAAAGTCACTATAGTATGTTTTGATTACTTCATCACCAATTTGGACTTTTATTTGATTAATGGGATTATTATTTAGATTTTTTATCACGGTCACTTTATTTACATATTTGTCATCTTTTAATTAGTTTTATCATATAGTTTTAATTATAGTCACATATTTGACATACTTTATATAGTTTGAATAATAGGAGCACAACATTTATAGATATATGGTTTAATTGCACAGTTGGAGTATGTGTTAATTGTTAGCGATCCATAGGGTTTTATTGTTTGTTTGGCTCGCAAGTTATACACACCTGTTTTTTGACTTCAGAAACTTAATATGATCAGTCTGGAAGAAAGAAGGGAAAGTGGAGACATGATTGAAACCTTTAAATACATCAAGGGGGTGAATAAGGATCAGGAGGTCAGGATTCTCAATATGAAACCACAATCAAGAACACGGGGACATGACCTCACACTAACTGGAGAAAAGTTCAAAATTAATCATAGAATACATTATTTTACTGAAAGGATAGTTGATGCTTGGAATAAACTTCCAGCAGAGGTGAGTCAGTCAATGGTAAACAGCTTCAAACATGCTTGGGGCAAACATAGATCTATACTCAGACAAAAAAGCTAATGAAAAAAAAAAAACAAAACAAAAAAAAACGGCCACTCTGTCTTTTTCTGCCGTCACTTTTCTATGTTTCTATGCTTCTCAGACATATGGTGGAGCTCTAATGCCATCTTAGATTTTCTGTCTTTGTTGCCAAAGAAAAATTCAGTATGGATCTTTTTGAGCAATGTCAGTGATGTATACCAGTGATGTATTCTAGCAACCATGCTAGAAATTAAAATAGTCATTACTGCATTAGATTTACAAAAAATAGTTGGTCAAGTTTGACTGACAGATATGTATTTTTTTCTACAACAAGCTGTAGCTTAAACATATCAAGGCATGCAATTTTAAAAGATACCGTATTTTTCGCTCCATAAGACACACCTGACCAGGTGTGTGAGACTGCAGACATAGTACAGGAGATGACCAGAGACTGCGGACACAGTACAGGATATGACCAGAGACTGCGGACACAGTACAGGAGATGACCAGAGACTGCGGACACAGTGTACAGGAGATGACCAGAGACTGCAGACATAGTACAGGGGATGACCAGAGACTGCGAACACAGTACAGGGGATGACCAGTGACTGCGGACACAGTACAGGAGATGACCAGAGACTGCGGACACAGTACAGGAGATGACCAGAGACTGCAGACACAGTACAGGAGATGACCAGAGACTGCGAACACAGTACAGGAGATGACCAGAGACTGCGGACACAGTACAGGAGATGACCAGAGACTTCGGACATAGTACAGAAGGTGACCAAAGACTGCAGACATAGTACAGGAGATGACCAGAGACTGCGAACACAGTACAGGAGATGACCAGAGCCTGCGGACACAGTACAGGAGATGACCAGAGACTTCGGACATAGTACAGAAGGTGACCAAAGACTGCGGATGTACTACAGGAGATGACCAGAGACTCCGGACACAGTACAGGAGATGACCAGAGACTGCGGACATACTACAGGAGATGAACAAAGACTACGGACATAGTACAGGAGATGAACAGAGACTGCGGACAAAGTACAGGGGATGACCAAAGACTGCGGACACAGTACAGGAGATGACCAGAGACTGCGGACACAGTACAGGAGATGACCAGAGACTGTGGACACAGTACAGGAGATGACCAGAGACTGCGGACACAGTACAGGAGATGACCAGAGACTGCGGACACAGTACAGGAGATGATCAGAGACTGCGGACACAGTACAGGAGATGACCAGAGACTGCGGACACAGTACAGGAGATGACCAGAGACTGCGGACATAGTAAAAGAGATGACCAGAGACTGCGGACATAGTACAGGAGATGACCAGAGACTGCGGACATAGTACAGGATATGACCAGAGACTGTGGACTCAGTACAGGAGATGACCAGAGACTGTGGACACAGTACAGGAGATGACCAGAGACTGCGGACATAGTACAGGAGATGACCAGAGACTGTGGACTCAGTACAGGAGATGACCAGAGACTGTGGACATAATACTGGAAGATGACCAGAGGACCTTTGGGAAGCAGGGGGGGCGGGAACCCAAATTTGGCAGGTACCCCCTCCCACTTCTGCGGAGTTATCCTCCCCGTAGCCTTGTGGGACAAGTGGCAGGTCCCAGTAGACTACACGTGGCCATTCACAAAGCGCATCACTTCTTGCACATGCGCAGTGGGCACCCGGCAAGCTGTCACAGCCGAGTGCCCACACTGAAGATGTTGGCGCTGGGAAGAGAATACAGCCAGTGAAAGCAGAACAACGCTGGACCGAGGAACAGGTTCTTCTGCACAATAGAGCTGAGTAGCCGGCCTGATATTCTAACATGCGGCGGCAGGAATACCGGTCCTGCCACTCCATATGACGCCCAGACACAAAAAGTGTGTCTTATGAAGCGAAAAATACTATACCACTATTTATAATTAGAGATGAGCGAATCGAACCAGGCGAAGTGGAATTCGATACGAATTTCAGGAAAAATTCGATTTGCGTCGAATCCGAATATTTGCCTACTTCGGGTGCGCGAATCGGATTTTTCCCAATCAGCCGGCAAAAGTG